CAGGCCCGCACGTTTTCTCGTATAGCAGATTTCATGATGAAGAAAGACCAAGCCACTGATGGGATTCGGCAGCAAGCCGCGGAAGCTCCAGAGCTGAGAGCTAGGTGTGTAGAGCTAGAGAAGGAGATGGAGCAGATGAGGAAAGAGATGGAGAAGTTAGAGGGGGAGTTAGAGGTTGGGCAGCTCAGGCTGGAGTCGCTCGAAAGAGACAAAAGGGTCTATCTTTTTGATCGAGATGGTCAAATGGAGTCGTTACGGGAGGAGTTACTGGAACGCAGGATGCAAGTGGAGAGTCTGACGGAAGAGCTTCGTGGAGGTACTGGGCCATCGAAGAACCATGCCGAACCCCAGGATTTAGTTTTTAGATGTGAATGGAGAGAGCCCAATTCGAGTCCATGTTCGTTCATCTGTAGCACGCGAAAGGTATGTCGGCTGTGCTCAACGTAGAATTTGACACTGACAGTAGCCTATCGAAATTTTAGGAATTGGAAGAACACATGATTCAAGGAGGGCATATCGATTTATCTTGATTTCTAGCAGCTTATTTGGGCCTCTTATTTCTTGTCGTACAAATCTACCGTCATCTCAATGTTCATATTCTCAAAATTTTTAGATATGTTCATGATCAGAACCTCTGTCCAACTACATAACTCCTCGTTAATGTCCTTCTATCTGTTCACTATGAAGGTTTGCCGAATAGCCTGGCCAGTCCATTGCAACTGCAGAGGCGTTGATACTGACTGAGCTCTAGGGCAAGAAGTTCTGATGCCATGAACGGGATACTCAGTCTGCAGATAGTTCATACACATCATCAAAGCCTGAGTTATTTTGCTGATCGATAGACTCTAGAGCCTGAAGCAGCTGTTGGCTTCAACAACCTCCTGCCAGAAAGCCTCTCAAATGGTCCGCAATAATAACAGCCAAGTAGTATATGATTTGTAGAAATTCAACACATTCATCCGTAATAGGCATAGTCATACTCATACTCGTAATCGATCTCCTTCACCCCATCCGTCTCCTCATCGAGCAGCTCCTGGACATATCCTTGAGCGTAGTAGATACCCACTGCACGTAGGGGATGAGATTTATCTTCAAAGCAAAAAGCGAAACATACCGATTTCAATCAACCACATTTGCAAGAACAGTGCAAGGGTCAAATATTTCATCATGGGTGTCCGCTCACAGAAAGCTCTCGAGAAATGGTCCAGGTTGAGACATTTGGTGTGAAGAACGCGGCTCATTATGGAGCCTGGGTCGTTGAACAGTATCGTGAGGCAATAGATACCCGACCCGAGACCGAAAACGAGTTGGGCCATGACCATGGAGCAGAACATGGCAATGAGGGCACGAGAGCTGTATAGCGCCCCGCTGATTCTAACGTACGAGAGGTGTTAATATCCAGAGGAATTTCGTAACGATATTAACACAACGCACCCTAGTGTAGTCGAAAGTCCAAGGAAGAAGTAAGCAAAGATATGCAGATTCAACGCGACAGCATCTGCATCCAGGATATTTTCTCCTGCAAAGGGCATGATATATCAGCTTCGACGACGTATCATATCCTACGTAGGGCACTCACCCAAAGTATACAAAAGGAGGAACCCTATTACGAGGAAAATGATAGAGAACAAGAATTCCGCGACAGCAACATACAAAACTTGGTGTCTTAACTGCGGGATGGACGACCGCTCTGCGGGATATGATGCGTACATTCTGAGGACCGTGGTCTTGATACTGGGGGGAGCAGGCCTGCCTGTCTTGGAGACATCAAAAATTCACCGCTCGTACTTATACTCGTACACAGCCACTCTCTCGGTATCCGCCGTGTTTCGGGTTGTGGATTCATATCATTCCCTTCATCTCTGTCCGTCGAGTCCGACGCTTGATTCTTACATGGTGCCCTTGGCAAACAGTCCGCCTGAGTTGTTCGAACGTTGGTTCTTGAAGAACCCAGAGAATTACCATATCGGCGACTGAGTACTGAAGTACTGAGCCTTGGACTCGAATGGTCTCAAAACTTGGACTTTTTCGCTGCCCCCAACTCAATGCCAGTCGGACTCGCGTTCCCATCATGATCTCAAACAGGACACTATCTTCGCATTGAGTAGAAGTCACACTTATCTATGTTATGTGACTCCCTCACAACCCCAACAAACTCGTACGGCGGCGGAGCTACGAATTACTTTTATCATTGTGTGCCTTCGTTCCACGCTCGGCGTTCAACGTTCACAGAGCAGCCTTACCAGCAGTCTATTCGTTGGGCATATTATCCATCAGCACTTGACACGTATGGTCTACATCACAGCTCACCTCGATAGGTAACAACAGCATCAAAATCGCCGAAACGAGGAAAAGTGAGGCGGCAACAAATATCGGGCTTAAAAGGGTGACATACGATTAGTTATTATCACTAGTCCAGTGGACTGGCATGAATCGTGACTTACCCATTAGCCGTAGCCTGTGAGGCACTTCCAGAAGCTGGTGTGGTCACGATTTTAATCGCGGGAGCAAGTATGCCTGTCATCCGGTTGAAAGCAGAACAAAGCGCGTCTCCTGTCCCTCGGTGAGGAGCAGGGAAGACTTCGGGTGTGTAGGCGTAGAGAACACCGTACATCTTAGACAAGCAAAGTCAACAGATGAGTTTTGAAGAAAATTAATTTGCAAAGAACGTACAGCGTTTCTGGAGCAAACCACGAGTCAGCATCCTTCAACGTTCACCAGAATTGACAACACAGTGACAAAACTTACTGCGTCAACGAAGTAACACACGAATACGCCAACACATCTGCCTCCTTCGTGCTCGTCGTGAACAAGAACAGGAAAATCCCAGTCAACGCAGTCGACACCGCCATCGTGAGCTTGCGTCCTCCCAAGGAGAACTTCCCTGAACGGCTCTTCCGGGACCAATCGACTACGAGGCAGGCGATTACTGAGCCTGGGACGCCAAGGATCGAAATGATCACGTAGTTCCTGTAGGTGGTGGATACGTTGGAAGAGGCATCGGTGACGTGGGTTGTAAGGTATAGGGTGATGAAACCGTTGAAGAGGGGGTAGGCAAGGCCGATTAAGCTGTGTTTCGAATGAGCGGTTGAAGAAGGCTGTATGTAGAGAGAGGAAGAAAAAGACGTACCCCCAGAGCGCGATTGTGATAGAGGTATTGATAGCCAGTCGTCGAGTGGAGAACAAGGGTTTGACGTGTGATCTTAATGATGTCCATGCAAGAATCAACCTCAGCTAGAACTGAAAGTCGTAACAGACTTACAGTGAGAAAGAGGAGAGAGATCGTTTGATTATTTGCCAGTTTGACATCGACGTTCCCGCCACCATCTTTTCGCCCGATACAGCTTGTAATTGGGCGGTGGTAAGGCTGAGTGTTTTTCCATTTACACGTGCGATGTGAGCCAATACCTGAGCGGATTCCTCCATGAGCATGGGTGTTTGACAAGGATTCCTGGCAGAAAATCAACCTTCACCGCGTCCTCATCGCGTCCTTTGGCCAAGAGATATTTGGGAGACTCTTGCAAATTGAAGATGAAGTATCGTAAAACCCACATGAGAAAAGTGATAGCGCCTCTGTGAAGGGCATGAGGACAGCGAAGATCCCGAGTGAAAAGAGCGGAAATTCCTCACAAGATATAGCTATAAGGAGTAAGAATAATGTTATGATTAGAATCATCAAAGATGATTTGACATACAAAGTGTATCGCCAACCCATGTTATCGGATTTAGCGCAATCCGTGGAGGATGTGCATGAAAAATTCCCTATCAGTGGCCAGGCGATCAACGAAGCCAAGAGTTGTCCCAGAGCCCACCAGACCGATAACAGTGTCAAAAGCCACTGTGTTCAAAGCTGAGTATCAGATCCTACAATGAGAGAAGGGGATATACTCACTTGATGTGAACGAGGTATACTCTCAAGAAAGATGGCACCTATCAGATTTGCGTCAGGGGGAGTCGATAACGGATTTAGAAAGAATCATATACCATCGACGGGCAAGCTAGCAATTCCATCGACACCCATGAGTCTGATACCCTTATCAAAAGAGGCTTACGAACACTCACTTTCCACCTACCCCAAATCCTATGCATGCAACCAACGCCGCGAGTGTGACAAAGCTATTTGCGCCGCCTACAGCGATCCCAAATACACCTGCGATGAATAGAGTGATGTTGAAAGAAAGTCGGCGCCCAATCAAGTCCGCGAGCACACCCCAAATGCTGGCGCCGAGAATGAGGCCAACATACAGGGCCATGGTAGCATATTCGACCCGGACTGGTTTGAGTTCAAGTGCGATTTGAGGAAGAACGGTGGCGACTCCTGCTAGCCAGATATCTAGCACAAGGATGTGATAAGAAACGAACTCGTATATCGGCGAATCAATCGACAGACAAACCGTCTGCTGCCCATCCAAGACCGGTCAGAACGAATAGCTGCCATTGGTATCGACCGAAACCAATCCTAGATAATCTCAATTCTGCTGATTTTGGTGAAGATTTTGGGTAGGTTTACTCATTCTGTAAGCATTCGTTGACTGCAGATATGATTGAGAAAGGATATGAGTGAAGGAATGTAAAACCCACTCAATCGACTCTTGGCTTCGTATACTGCCGAAACACCTTCACCGTTGTCTGAATTTGTCGGATGAGAAAAGGTGTCCTCTTGTTCGAATTCCGTTGACAAGTTATCAGCGTCCGATTTCATAGACTGTAGGGTGGACATCAGGGTATCGATTGGAAAACCTTAAGTTCATCTTTGGCCAAGTTTTTATACGCTCGTGTTCAGATAAGTAGTTGCGATAGCCGAGAAAGGATTCGAGGACGGGAATTTTGCCATTGCTGGAGAGTGACGCGATTATTCTTCAGCAACCAGTGGACCGCGTTGGAGGAAGCATTAAAGGAGCACAAGCATGTGGGAGATTCGACGAGAAGCGAGCAAGTTGAAGATCAGTGTCAGCGAGCATGAAAGCGGTATTTATTGATGAACGCCTAAGTCTCGTCAAGGGCACTTGGCACAGTTGGTAGCGCGCACGCTTCGCATTGGATTTGCGTGAGGTCGGGAGTTCGACTCTCCCAGTGTCCACGAGATTTGTATAGATGCAATTTTTTTTTCTTTTTTCCTTTTTTTAAATTTCCATCTGTCTGCTCCCGTTACTTTTTTCAAGATTCTCTATTCACTGTCAGTGCTCCTTCAACTTGCGGCCTGACTAGACCTGCTCAACTATATTCACTGGTCCCATTTGGGAAAAGTTTCTGTCAATGCCGTTTTTCACCAACCTCCCGAGGTCGGACTGTATTATCGGGCTCCACCTTTACTCCATGGCGAATGGACGTTTTTCAATAGCATATTTTTTGATCTCTACACCATGCCCTTCTATAAAAGCAAACCTGGCATCATATGCTACAACTTGAAACTTTCCTTCCTCCTTTCTTCCAATTCAACTCTCTCTAGCCCTTCAACATGGACATTGGGAAAGAAAAACTGGCTCCCGACACGGCGAGTGCCGACTCGACTGGCAACAACATCCAATTCTACGATCCTTCCAAAGAATCAATATGGACTCGCCTTGGAGTCAATTGGGAAAGTTTTAAGCGAGCCCCAGGCGTTACTGGGTACGTGCATTATCTTCTTTAATACCAGTGGACTCAATAACGATAATCTAACCTATCGTCGTGCTCAGCGACCGGTTGGTCGCCGGTGACCTCTCAGAGGCAGAGATAGAAAAAATCAAGAGCGAGACTCCAATGCTCCAAGCCAAAATGAAGAAGCGGCATCTTACGATGATTGCTGTCGGTGCGTTCCAACTTCCAATGTCCATCGTGTATCTGTTTCCTGTACACAACAAGCGTCTCACGACGCGTCTATCCGCACTTGCAGGAGGAAGTATCGGTACAGGTCTCTTCGTTGGATCTGGTTCTGCCTTGAAAGTCGGTGGACCCGCTGCGATCTTAATCGGCTGGATCATCATGGGAGTTATGTTGGTCAACGTCACACAGGTTCGGATTTCGCGGTCTTCATGTCTCCCCATTGTGAATCTCGAATCATCCCCTACATAGGCTATCGGAGAAATGTCGATACTCTACCCTCTTTCAGGAGGTTTTTACATGCTCGCAAACAGATTTCTGGATCCCGGATTCGCATTTGCCATGGGCTGGAACTATTTCCTACAATGGGCCGTCGTCTTACCGCTAGAGATCACCGTGGCTGGGACTACTGTTCAGTACTGGACGGAAAAAGTTCCTATAGCTGTATGGATTACTGTATTCTGGGTTGTCATCAGTGAGTGTTATTGGTTTGGATCGCAGCATTTGACAGCATTAGAGCGTTAACGGATGGATCTTCTTCCCTTCATAGTGATCATATGCCTCTTCGGTACACTTGGCTATGCAGAGGAAGAGTTCTGGTCATCGTGTTTGAAGCTGTTGATCGTGGTGATGTTCGTCTTCATCGGAATGTAAGTTTTTCTCTTTTCCTTTGCATGCAGTGTATCCTGATTTCGGCGTTTTCAGTATCTGGTATGTACATATCACGGTTGTCGTTTTGCATAGCATATACCAATCTAGCCCTTCAGCATCTGTGGAGGTGGACCTTCAGGTGGGCAATACGACCATTACATAGGTGGCGCGTTATGGCAGAATCCAGGCGCTTTTGCGAATGGATTCCAAGGCGTGTGCTCAGTTTTTGTCACTGCCGCTTTTGCCTTTTGTGAGTGTAATTGGTTCTGTTCGACATCTAATAGGCTTGACATTCAATATCTCAATCTAGCCGGAACAGAACTGGTCGGTCTTGCAGCCAGTGAAACTCCCGATCCGCGTGCAACGATGCCTGGTGCGGTCAAAGGGACCTTTTGGCGTATAGTATGTTTTCTTCTTACTCGCTGTGCTTGCGTCCTCTACGGTACATAGTCATACTGAATTCGTTTCGTTTGATAGACAGTCATCTATATCACATCGCTGACTATTATTGGATTGCTCGTTCCTTGGACCGATGAACGTCTACTTGGCGGAACTTCAGCTGGTGCGGCTTTCTCTCTCTCTTCCTTTTAGACTAGATCTCACTCAGCTTACTGACATACAACTCTATAACATCACAGCCGCTTCCCCTTTCGTCATCGTTCTTGACAACGCCAAGATCCCTGGGCTCAATCGTACGTCTATACCAATACCATCCCTCCCAAATCATTACTAACACCAGTCCCTGCGAAAAGATCTCGTCAACGCAACGATCTGTGTCTCCGTACTCTCCATCGGTCTCTCCTGCGTCTACGCTGGCTCTCGAACACTCACCGCCCTCGCCGAAACAGGATACGCACCTCGACTGTTTACATACGTCGACAAGTCTTCCCGACCCTTGTTTTCGGTCATTGCTGTCCTTCTCTTTGCTCCGATAGGATACGTCAATGTCATTGCCGCTGGTGATACTGTCTGTGAGTGGCTTCGTATTCGGTGTTCTCTTTGATTTGGGAGGTCAACCTCGTTCGAATAGTCCTCTGGTTGCAGGCCATATCTGGGCTTTCCGTCCTGTTCACATGGGGTGCTATCTGTTTATGCCAGTACGTCCTCTCATTCCAACAACAGAATGTATCTTAAGCATGGGGCTCATGTTGATATTCCTTAGCATCCGTTTCCGTCGTGCATGGTATGTCCAAGGACATTCGGTAGAAGAGCTCCCTTTCAGAGCTCTAGGTGGCGTATGGGGTTCATGGCTCGGACTGTCGCTTGTCATCATCGTCATGATTGCCCAATTCTACGTCGTAAGTATCAATCCCAGCTTTCAGCTCAAATTTCTCATAACAAACACAAACTACCATGTTCTTTCTTTCTCTTTCATCTGTGTAGGCCTTATTCCCTGTCGGCGGAGTCTCCAACGGCGCTGCACGCGCTCAAAGTTTCTTCGAGGCTTACCTCGCCGCACCCGTCATTCTTGCGTTTTGGATAGGAGGATACGTCTGGAAACGGACCATGCCCTGGCGAGCACACGAGATCGATCTGGATACTGGTCGGAAGAGTTGGTTGACTGTGGAGGAGATGCGGCAGTATCGTGCGGAACGAAAGACTGCTCCGTTGTATGTGAGGATATATCGTCTGTTGTTCACGAACTAGGACTTGTCTGTGTCGATGGCGTTGTGTGTATAGTATGATATGTGGTTTTTGTTGTTTTTTTGCTTCTGCTTTGCATGTTGTTAACCAAGTATGAGTAGATATGTACTTTACATCGAGCGATTGTAAAGCACTGTTAATTGTACATACTTATTGAATCTATGTATAATTCGTTGTTCATCATACGGATCTTCAGAGATCTATCGATGAAGCACCTTATGATGTGGCGGCTCACTGTGATTTTCAGTCGTCTTCAAGGAATACACGAAAACATACAAACAGCGCATTATGCACCAGTACTTATATAGATAAAGTTGCGGATGTACAACAGTACAACAAGGTATAAATAAGGATGTATGACAGTTGACAGTCCAGGAGCAGATATGATGATGATGAGGTTATTGGATATGAAGAGACAGTATCCTTATAGTGAATCCGATGATCGAACGAACGATTGTGATGTACAAGCGAATGCACTTCTATAGATAATAGTACATATCCTGTTATACAGATCAGGAGGGGAGGACCGTTGTCCATTGAGGTGGAGAGTGAGATAGCGCGCTTTTTGATGTCCTGTTGATCCAACTCGGCGGGGAAGTAATGGCGTCGGCATGGTAGACCTGTTTGGGCACTGGTTCATGAAGAGACGACGACGACGAGAGCCGGATCAGGCAGTGATTCTACCATAAGATCAAAGAGATGATGTTGAAAGGAAGTAATGAGTTCTGAAGACACGCAGATATTATTCGCGTGTCACGAACGAGAGAGCGAACTCTACGCCCACTTTCCCAGAAGAGCCATGAGAGCACATCCCAAGAGCATAGAGCCGAGTGCATAAGCCAGATGTGCATCTGAGCTTTCCATCATTTCCTTGTTGAAAAGGAACTCATGGGCAAGAAGCTGCGAATGAAATAGACAGAGGTCGGCGAGTTGAAGATTGATAAAAGTAAAGTGCAGCAAAATTGGCGTACCTCAACTAATCCGGTGTATATCAATATCCCAGAGCTTAACGAGTCCAGCACGCCGCTCACTATCGATGCAGTGGCACTATTGGGGTTGTATGTCGTTCTCAGCCCTAGACCGACTGCGATCCCAATTGGAGTGGTGAATCCATAGACCACAGCACCTATTATAGGTACAAAGTTGTATTTTGACGGAAGGTTCATGTAAGCAAGCCTTGAACCTATCCCGAGGCCTTCAAATGTTTCTGCGGAAGATCTGGTAAATCAGAAAGTCTAGTGGTTGATCAGAAGGTACCCACGATGGAAGACTAGCACGACGAAGAGAATTTTAAAGCTATCGTTGACGGCGAGTGTGAGTCCGATGAGAACACTGAGCATTGAATTCAGCACATGGTGACCGTTAGTAAGCTCGCTGACAGAGGGAGAAGGATTACTCTTTACCTGTGAAGTACGACACCAAACTCTAATATTGCCACACCGATAACTTGAGATACCGCAGAATCTGAAACCCTATGTGTATGCTCGTGCACAGACTCGTTGATCGTCTCCGAGGGTAAAGCTTCCACGTCCTTGGAGGTAGTTGTAACTAGATTGCCTTCTGGTCCATGAGCTGCATGAGAGCCGGTATCGTGACCATGTGCATCTAAAGGGAGGATACGAACGAGAGAGAGTAGAAAAGGAATGGTATAAGACTAAATCAGATACAATGCTAATGACTTCGGAAGATCGCGTGCCTACCATGATGCACTCCTATCTTGGCCAGCAAAGCCGTACCCCAGCGAAAAGCGACCAGCTCGATGATGAAGATGGAGAAAATACTCAGTAAGCAGAGTGCTAGAGCATATGGCTGTTTGGGAAAGGAAAGAAGTATGAGTTGGTTTGGTGAATGGGATGATTGGACGTAAGGACGCACGTATTCTCCCCAGGCTTCTGACAAGCAAGGAGACCCTAGCTCGTCAAGCGCTGGAGCTAATAGATGTATGAAGGCGGTAGCGATCTGTAAAAGAAACATGGATACCGT